CCGTGACTCCTCCTATCCACGAATCGCTTTTGTTGAAGTATACGCGCACTCTGCCTTTCTTGGTCTCTGCCTCTCTGCAAAAATCAGTAATATCGTACCTGAGAGATTTTCGACGTGTCGTAGTCTAGCAGGCACCGAATCTCGTCCAATGCATCTTGTATGTGTTTAGTTTCTTTTTTCAACAGAAACTCACGCATACCGTCTAGCAATGTTTCTAACATGTGCATCGTGACCTGAAAGTAATGGAACTATCTTATTTCGAAGAAATAGGGGCGCAGTTCGGCTTACTGAGGCACAGAATGGTACTCAACTAAGCTACTTGTACGGGTACCTTGTCAAAACCTGTGAATTCCCGCGACTTTCCAGCGTTACGGGTGTGAACAAATAGAGACCTGTTAGTTAACATGAATAAAAGGAATTAGCGAAACTGCAAAGTGTCCCCCTCCAAGCCGAACAGCGCCGAGCAGGTACTATGTACAGCGGGAAGCTGAGAAGTCTAAGACGTCATTTCATAAATAAACCGTCCAGTAATTCTGAACTAGGAGAATTGAATACAATAGCAACGGAATTCTATTTCATCTTTCGGTAGAATGGGATGATTTCCTCAATTGGAAGGCACTACTGAGAGTTAGAGCTGAGCTATGAATACCACAAACATACTGACGCAGTCGTAGTCGGAGGAATTTTAGACATCACCTCTGATCCGATTTTTTTACCTTCCAGGTACTGCAGTACTTGGAAGGTAAAAAAGAGCTCTGCAGAGCACCTTCTGCCGTAAAATTTTTCTTGCAAAATGCGATATACCCCCTTCCCCGTCCACCATCCTACCTATCATATGCCTGAATTTTTCCAAATTCCTGCGACTTTTCTGTGGCTTTTTTCCCCAGAAAATCCTCCATTACTTGCCCGAAATAAGTCGAGCAGGCGAGCCTGGGGAGGGGGGGGAATTATGCAGCGCAGCGCACTCAAAACAGGAAAAACTGAGAAAAGTCAGCAACCAGTCAGTCAGCAACAGTCGTTTTTCTCGAGAGGGAGTTTGACTGACCCCGCCTTTCCTGCAGCTTTAACCGAGATACGAACCTCCAATAGCTGAAGTCCCTGACATCTACTATACCGTACGACCCCCTGATCACATGTACCTTCGCACTCTTCTAAGCCACATTCCGCACTCGTTGGTACAGCATCTAACTTTCTACCCTCTTCCCCCTTACCATAGTGAAAAAGGTCAGGAGGCAATAAAAAAGAAGGCCTAATGGTACATACGACCCCGCCCAACCAACAAGCGTGGAATTTGTCCGATCGATCAAGGCTCTCGATGTGCGCCATGCATCCCACCTGCTTCACATTAGCGGAGATATTTGAATGCTCATAAGTCAGAATAGTGAATTCCAGGATCAGGCAGTAGTCCTACAACTGAATTCATACTCCCAGATAAGGGCGGTATAACTAACCTCTACCTCAGCGGTACGCTGTTTCTCCCCTGGAGTGATGGAGTTCTACGGATGCTTCTCGGGGACTACTTCTATGCGAGCTGTAGCACTTTTGTGCCAAACCAGCAAGGGCCTGGTACAGATTCAGCACACTACTCGCGCCAAATAGCGCAGTTCGATTCTCCCGACTTGGATCGTATCAGGACGATTGCGGTCTGCCTAATGCAGCTGTAGACCCTCTATGACATCCCAGTAAACGAAATGAAACAGAAAAATCGAAAAAAAAATAGAGGATCAGTATGCCAGGAATGACGAGTCTCATGTAAACGATGAATAAAAAAACCAGTAAAAAGGATTTTTGTAATAAAAAGAAAACAAAACAATGAAGAATGTAGCTATCATAAGAAAACGTACCACAACTTCTGCACTATCCATCGATGCGATGATGCCACGCATCCAAGTGTCAATTATCTGAACAGTATACTGTATTGAAGTACCTTGATATATATTTTGGTGAAAAAGGATAAGGATAGGTAAGGGTTTTCATGAATGAGCATTTTTTACGATGACGAGGTTTTTGCCTCGCAAATGCATTTTCCGGCTTCCTCTCTATTCCAGCGAAAGTTTGATTGCTGTGAGAGCCAGTCTCACAGCAGTCAAACTGAACAATTTTCCTTTCGAACGGGAAGAGGATTTTTTCATCCGATTCCACCACTTGTTTACTCCTGGTGATCAAGAGACATCATGGAGATGTGTGGAATGGGAGCACGTCGTTACAGCGGTAGGGGGGGGTGCACTTGGACGCTGAAGGAGGGAGAAGCCGTATTTGCCTTCGAAAGAAATGTTTTCGGTTATTGACTGTTTCGGTTTCTTCCCGTCCCGCTCCATCCTCCCTCCCCCCACCCTCGCTCGAAGGTAACACTAGTTTTTTTCGAAAAAAAAACTGGAGAATTCTGGGGAAAACTGGTAGGAAATTGGGGGAATTTAGGAAGATATGCAGTAAAAGTTGATAGGTAGGATGAGGAAAGGGGTCGTACCAGGGGAAGAACTTTTGATAGAGGGGATCGTTTCGCGAATCTCCCTCCCACTCTCACCACTCAGGAAAGGATGGCCACCTCCATAACAACAAAATTTTCCTTCTAATCAAATCTCCGCTCAAAATTCGCCTTGTAAGTTAAGGATAAGGCATAATTAATTTGAAGTAGGAAAAATCGATAATCAGAACTTTTCTCCGCACCCTAAATACCCACTGTTTGACCACTGACACGACCCTCTCCCGTAATCGGATTCACGCTGTGTGCGCCGCCCCGCCCTAATTTTAATGGCCTTTTTTCGAATTTGAAATCATACTGTTCGGAATTATCGACATGAACTTGCAGCGTTATGCCGTCCGTCTGAGTCTTTGCTTCAGCAATAAAGAACCTGAAACAGCAGAACTTACCTCGTGATCTATACAGAAGAAATCCATCAAAGAAAAGAGAAAAAGAAGAAATTATCTGTACATGAATGAACGGTTAAACGGATGCACTTATCGAGCAGAGATCACCGCAGGGTCATTTAAAAAGAAGAAATATTCGAAAAAAAAAATTAGGAACAAAATCTTGCAAGGCCTGCAGAAACAGAGCATAGGCCTTCAGAGCACGGTTATCACACCGAAAAAGTCGTGCAAACACATTCCGAACTTCGATAACAAAAATGTTGGGTTGTCTGGTCACTGACCAGACGGCTTGAGCACAACAATCCTACAAAGCATCAATGACCAGGGCTGACTCAGTGTTCGCATGACCACGGTAAATACTTAAATATTAAGGCAATCTGGAAATAAGGGCTCCTAATTACATTTGCAGAAACTATTGACTTCAATTCAGTTGTTGCCGCAGAATGCTGAGTCATGGGTAAAGTCAGACCCCGGGCGGGTTGATTTCAGCCTATTCCTCAGAACGTCCAGCTAGTTTTCAGAACATCAAACTTCGTTGCAGAGGATTTTGACTTTTGGATAAATTCTGATTGAGAAAAGTTGAGCATAACCCTTGAACACCCGGACAAAGGGCACGCAAATGAAATTCCACTACCACTGCTAAAGCGACCGCCTGAGAGAGGGTAGGGTCGATTAGTGTGTGCGGCGCTCTGAGCGACCGTACCCGTTCTCTGACAGCTGCTTGATGGCACGAGAAATCGGTACTTGCTCAGGAGCAGCGGAGCTATATGGTGGGGAAATGACGAAAGAGCGAAGTCAAACGGCCAAAAGCCTTTGAAAAAATACCCTTTTGCTCTGCATGGCATTGGACGGCATTTTTGGACGAGTTTTCCGTTGGCAGCGCTTGTTAAGGGGCACAATATCCTTTCGTGCTAGGCGTGCCGACCATGTACGTCTGGTCGATTTGCGTTCGAACGGGCAAACGACCTTCCTTACGCCAACACATCGCAATGTTTGCTGCGAAAACGATTTCGATACAATGGAAAGTTGTCAGGGAACATCGCGGATATGGGATCCACATCGGGAAGGGGTGGCTCGTATTCAGTCTTTTGACATTTTTTCAACGGTGGATTTTTCGGGCACCCTGCCAGAAGTAGTAGGAAAGGTTCCGCCCCTCCCCACCTGATAGATAGATGTCGCCACGTTCACAACTTCTAATATTAACCGGATGCACGTTTTCACACACGCCCTACGCCCGGTGAATTTTGGGACACAGAGAGGGGGGGGTCGTCTCTGGTTTATCACCAGAGAAACCAAGCGAGTCCACTGTATGAAGGCAGAAAAATTCCCATTCAGGAGGGGTGACTAGATTCGGGAATTTAGAGGATAGAATAGAGGGAAAAATTCAGCCAATTTAACCAGGGAAACCCAAATACAGACCGCATGTTTTCAAGATTTAGAACCTAATTTACTGCGATACTATTATGTAATAGTTTGGAATCAAAAGTACTAGTGGTGTGGAATCAAAAATCAGTCAATCCATAGGTGTTCTATTGATCGAATCAAAAACTGACGAACTCCTTCCAAAGGAATCTGAACACTGCTAGAAAAGGTAGGCATGTTTTTGTTGGGAACGGGAGGCTTTCATACGTAAACGAATGGTGCTAAAGGAACGGACGAGCGCGAAAATGAGGTAATTATAGAAGCCGTTCTTCGTTGATATAAATTGGAGAGCGAAATCGATAGCGCTGCCCTTTTGAGGAAAAGGGGAAAGAGATGGATATGTTCGTGGCATTTCATTAGGATAGACGGCTTAGCGTAATGGTAGCGATCGTATTGCTCCACAATGCAAAAAAACTTCCGTCCTACAAAGAATAACCAAAGAACTCTCAATAGCACAAATGCAGAAGCCACGCCTTCACGGTGCATGCTCCACCCACCTGTTTGAGCTGTTCGCACTTTCGTCGGATATCGTCCTGTTCAACAGAGTTGTGGTTCCAGACCGAGGCGTGCCAGCACATGGCGATGGCACCAGTTGAGGATGGGTGTTGTCGTCCATGATTGGGCTGAAAATCGATATATCGATTGGTGTACAGTTGACGAATGGGGTAGATCTTACCTCGATGGCTGACTCAGCGGGAAGCCTGGATGTGATACCGTTGTACCAGCGCTGATCGAGCCATCCGGTACTGGGCTACAGGAGATCGTTCTTGTTCGACTGGAAGTTCTGAGAACTCACTATATTAGAGACAATTGGGTCATTACAATAATAGGGCGCTATAAGGAGAGGGTCTATGGACAACTAGTGCTCCCATCCATTCAGTTACTTCAATTTTCAGGTCTTTTCTACGCTCTCTGGTCCGCATCTCATTCCACGTTCACTGTCACCTCACACAAGGTAATTTTTCAAGCAGAAAAATGGCTTATCCACCCCGTAATCTCCTACATATCTTGAAAAAGCCCCTGGCTCATCAATGTTCTTGCTCATCTTTCTAGGCTTTGGCAGCAGTTTCCCCGTTAGTTGTCTGTTCTTCAGGGTTTCGCAGCATGCCGTGCGTCAAGTTCAATTAGCGACGTAGCCAAGGGTACAGGCAGGCAGCAGTTTTCCACGCGACTACGCTACCCTTTAAATTCATGAAGTGGGGGCTCTATTTCTGCGACTCTGTCTCTTAAAGGCAGTTGGCACGATGGTTTGGTGTTCGGCCTAAAGTGCTCCTAACGCGCTATACCACCCCATATTTTACTTAAAAAAAGTCCTCAAGCTGTGATCCAAATTCCGTTGTGCACGTTTTCAGATTCTATGTATGAAAAAACCTGGAAAAGCATAATTCCAGAAAAACAAGTCCATCATAAACATTTCTACAGGTGTTTTACAAATTTTCCACCGTTTCACGCTATACGTCCACCTTTGATATACGGCTCCAAAAATTTTCCCGTTTCAAGCGTGGTGATATATTCTTATCAAAATAGACGAGAACATGTCTCACTGTGATGCCACGCGGTTCTCGTCTGTCTTCGGAAGAAAAGGCCCAAATTCGGGCCCTACACCAGGCCGGACTCAGCAATCGGCGGATTGCCAAGGAAATTGGCAGGTCTCACTGCGTCGTCTGCTCCTACCTCAGAAATCCTGAGACTTACGGCAGTGGCGGAGCTAACAAACACCAACGAAAACTGTCCGCCAGGGAAGAACGGCAAATATGGAAGAAAGCATCCAACAGCACGTTGAGCGTCAACCAAATTCGTGCGGAACTGAAGCTTTCTGCTTCGAAGTCGACAGTCTGGAGGGCTATTAGACGCAACAGCAACATAGTGAGAGAAGTTATGCAGAAGGCGCCACGACTTACTTGCGCTCACAAGTCGGCTCGTCTCGATTTTGCTAGGAAGAACATCACAACGGACTGGAAGCAGGTGTGGTGATAAAAGGAAACGCTATCTCTATTGTACTGCAACCAGTAAAGAGGAACTTGTGTTCAGGTAATCTTTTCTGACGAGAAGAAGTTCAATCTGGACGGGCCAGACGGCGCTAGATGTTACTGGCGTGATGATTTGAGGAAAGATCCTATGCGGTTCAGCCGACGTAACTTCGGTGGCGGTTCTCTTATGGTTTGGGGAGCCTACTGCTGGGACAGAAAGCTGGAACTAGCATTCATCTCCTGCCGAATGGACTCGCGTGAATATCAGGAAGTACTTGAGTCCAACTTGTTGCCTTTCCTCCGTCGCTGGCGAAGAGGAAAACCGATTTTCCAGCAGGATAATGCAAGTGTCCACGCGAGCAGGTCAACATCGGAGTGGTTTCAGCAGCATAGAGTTGACGTTATGGAGTGGCCCGCGTGTAGCCCTGATCTCAACCCTATGGAGAACCTCTGGGGCATCATTGCTCGAAAGGTTTATGAAAACTGTAGGCAGTTTGAGACCATCAACGAGCTGAGATGTGCAGTCATCGACGCGTGGAAGAACATTGACGCCTCAGTGCTCCAGAACCTATCAGCAAGCATGCCTCATCGACTCATGGAGCTGGCTTCCAAACAAGGAGCACCGATTGATTACTGATTTTGCTGTTGTTGTCTTGTTGAACATAGAAATAAACTGTTGATGAGAGTGGACGTATAGCCTGAAACGGCCGAAAATCGGTTATATGCCTATAAAAAATTCCATGGGAGATCTAACTTACTGAACACCTGCTTTCCAGTGTTTTTTTATACGACGAATCTCACAGTGTACACAACAATACTCCACCATCGCTTCAAGAAAAGTTTTCAGTAAATTGATGGGTGGACGTATACTGGTGAAACGCACGTATAGCGGGGAAATGGCGAAAGAACGGAGTGAAACGGTCAAAATCCTGCGAAGAAAAAGCCTCCGTTTTCACTGTGTTAGTAATCAATTTTGGACGAGTTTCCCGTAGGCATCTTGCCAATCACCGCTACCGAAGGTACGGCTGCATATGTGTACTCATATATCCATGCAGCATCACGGCCGCTTCATACCAATCCCTTCGCTTCATAATTTGCTTAGCAAATGAATCGATTAGAGCGTCAGGAACGGTCGTCCATTTGTGGGCGGGCGGGCGAGGAAGGCGTTTGGGACGTAAAGTTGTTGCTCGATAGAGCGTTAGGGGTACCCTCCTTGGAAAAGGCGTCACGGAGCGCCTGTCCGAGGTCACGGAATTCTGTTAAGCCAGTTGTATAAATCCTACACCTGTATAGCGATTTATCGTGCCAACTGCCTTTAAATAATTTGGCTTCTAATCCTACAATGGAGCCCTCTGCCCCCTGAAAATTGCGGCATATCGTAACCCTAGCGGAGAATGGCAAATGAATGAAGATATTTTTGTTATTATCAAATCTAATTCCATTTGACCCCTAAACTTTTCTACTAAAAACACTACAGGTACGGCAGGTGAATACAGCGGTTCCCCCTGAAGACGCTGGGCGTGTCAGGGAAGGGGAGGGGGAGGCTGAAATAGGAGCGGTGCCAGCTCATTCATCATCAGTTGCTCTAGCAAGGGGTAACAGTTGGTGGTAAACGGGCTGGCACTGCACAAGATCCAGCCCCTTTGACTCCCCTCCCACCGTCTGCAGTGAAAACGGTAGGTACTGGTCAAATTAAAAGTGCTATAATAACGCAATTTGCTCAAATAGTATACTAGTACCTGTTGTCAATCATCAGATGAAGTCGTTTTTCTTCGACGACTGCGGATTGCGGAGTGGTGGGCATTTCGACGGAACCACGATCGCTGACGCCGATGCCTCCAATGTGTGACGTGGAACGCAGCATTTCTTCAAAGCCAATAGGGATAAGGCGTTAGAAAGCAGCCGACAAGGACGTCACACTTTGTTAAAACCCATATGGGGTGCATAGTTCGCTGATGGAGAGATTAAATCGCGCGACCACTACTGAATGTGCTCACCGCTAATCTTTGGACCGCTGCGAAAGTTGACAGAAGTTCTATTTGAAAGTTATTGGATTGGAATTTGCAACCACCCTACGATTAAAGGTAAAGCATTCTGTCAAAGACGCGCGATTCCCAAGTAGCACGACTGAATCGCGAAGTATGAACGCGGCGTGAGTGGTGACCATCGCTTGCGAGTTTCTTATAATTCGCTGAGGGTAGCATAAGGGACACAGCCGTTATCCACTAAAGCCAGCTGGGGTGGGAGTCCTCGTGTCATCGTTCAGATGGGTGTTGACGTGGCGCGAGCCCGTTGCCATTGATCGAAGCGGCTTCGGGAGGCTAGCGATTGGTGGGAAGTGCTGCGCCAGAAGCCACGCCCCGCTGACAGGGCCCGACTGGTTTCCGTGATAACGGCTGTGGCTCCATTCCTATTTAAACATGAGGATGCGGGAGACCAATCCTTACCGTCGAGCTTGGAGCGCGAGCATGCTGATAACAACAACAAGGACACAACACAAGTAGCAACAGAGCAGGAAAGCAGCACTTCAGCTATCAATCAATAAAGGTGGCTACGGTAATTATCTGGGCTTAATCAAACGGAGCAACTTAGTATTATGTATAATTGAAGGGCGGTAAGCTCTGATTATGACTCATTTGAAATCGCGCGAGAAGATTAGACTTTGCAGACGGGATAAGAAAACGTCTCAAATGGATGTGCAATTACGAACAAGGCTTGAACTTATCGAGTTTATAGCCGCCTAGCTGATTAAGCCCATACAATAGCCGAAACGCATGAAGGCACAGTCCACGCTCACCTAGTGGAGATATGGGCGGAGACAGTTAAGCATATCGCTTTGATCGCTGATTGCTAGGCCTATCATTTCTGCAATTTTCAAATGGGGCATCAGTGAAGAAGGTATAATGGTTGATTGTCTCCGCCCACACTATTAACGTGGAGCGTGCCTTTAAATCTAAGTCGTATTAACTGTGATCAGTCCTACAGAATTAAGATTTTAGGAAAGCTGGCACAACATGTAGGGGTAAAAATAGCGAAGAATAATTTATTTAGTACCTCGATGTTTATTGACGTGATCCATCTGCTTTTTATTCATCGATCCGCTTCGAGTTCGCGAAATGCTGGAACTAAACACTTGAGATTGATCTAACTGACACCAAAAGTTTTGAAGTGAGATCGCTGGCGTTCAGAGAAAGAGTGCGTAATTTGGGTTAGTTTGTTCAACCCAAACATCAGGCAATGGGTATGGTGGTGCATCATTGGCCTGGATGCAGAAGAGGGAGGTGGTCTCAAGAAGTGACCTGAAACCCACAGGGAAAAGCCTCAGCGCTCGAAATATCCCGCAATCTTGCCCATTCCATCAGTTGCAGGACATACTAAAGAGGCCTGCGGTGCGAGGAAAAGGGTTCAATTGAATGAAGGGGAGGCTGAGAATGAATCGGGACAGTCGAAACAAAGGACGATTCCCCGAGTGAACCCTCCCCCTCCCCCCCCCGGTCCTCTAATACGACCAATGTTCCTGCAATTAGCCAGTCCTCACACCTCGTTTCCTATTGCTGCGCATGATGCCGGCTTAGAAGTGGTCCCGCGCCAGTACTTCTCAAAAAAAACCAACAGTAAGATTTACAGTCCACAGATGAGCGCAAAAGAGGTGTTCACCAATGAGCAGTTTGGCTACAGGGGCATTCTCCACCTTTGCACATTCCGTCAACTAGTGATAAAGCGAATATACAGTTCTCCCCCCCCCCTTCGCCGAGCCACGCCGGGTGAAAGTAAAAAGCTATGAGGGCGGTGAAGGAAAGAAGCAGAGGCAAGGGTACAAGACTGGGTAGTTAGCACGGAATATGCAGCTTTCGCCGAAACACCCCTTTCGCCCGCAGGTATGGACTGCATGTACAGCTCCCAGACTAATGTATACGCTTGAGGAAAAGCTTGGATGAACATGCCACTGCATTTCGCAATGAGTTGTTCCGCGACCCTTCGACTAATGGCCGTGCTCTACTCTTTGCACGCAAAACAACGACGGCAAATGCTCCACTTCAATGTTTTCGGGCCAAGATGCCGCTGCTGGTCGAAACTATCAGTACAGAATCTGCTGGAGTTTCCGAGAAGAGAGGGTAGCTCACAGGTAATAATCAGAGACAGCTATGTTTTGTCCCAGTATGACCTGTGCGGAGATGGGTTACATCTTTCCAGGTAGTTGCTTCCCTATCCGCTTCTCCTGGTGGATGCGCGAGCTACGGCAAAACTAAGAAACAGTGCGCTTCTGGGAGTACAGAGTCCTCACCTAGATTCCTCAATGTTCTTAGTGTATTGAAAAGCTAAAATCGTAATATAAGCAGAAACTCACGAATGATGGTATTGCTGAATGAACGGATCATTGAGCAGCTTCAGTGCACTGGGTCGTTGTAAGGGATCAGGTTCGAAGCAGCTGTAAAAAAAGGAAAATGTAAGTAGACAAACACAAAGGATTTGTTGTCACTTGTGTCCTGAGCACACTGTGTGTCCCTGTCTCGCATTCGTAAATACCAGTCAATAAACCTTGTTCGCTGCGGATGCAGGGAACGTATCGGGACAAGGGGGAAGGGAGGGGGGGGGGGGATGCGACTTGAGTTTGGCTCCGAGCGGCTAACTGTGTTCCATCACCAATTATTGGTCCCGTGCTGCTTCCCGCCTTCCGAAAATTGGTGCTGAGACCGGCTGGGCGCCAAGCAATGTTAGAACCACTCTCTTTACCCCCCCCCCATTATCCGCAGCGATTAAGTCTGATGAGACAGACTTCCTGTTTTCGAAGTCTGAACAGTCGCACACTACCACCATGGGCGAAGTTGGGCTAAGCTGGACAACCTTTGTGCCCTATTTGCGTTCTTTGTCTTTATCGTTTCACGATCACAGAGGCCCGCCAAAGGGCACATCGACCGACTCCGCCCATTCGTCCGCCGTAGACTATGTCGGTATCAGAAAGTTCGAAAGCGCAAGAAAGAGACAGAATTCCAGTTCGGAAATACATTGGAGTTTTAATTTGAGGAAGAACTATACAAGGACATCTAACTTGGAGTTGAGGAAAAGTCAGAGACTGCTAGGCAAACTGAATGAAAACGTCATATGCTGGAATCCCGACAGTTCGTCGGCTATCCAGACAAGAAAGGCGTCGGAATTCTGCGTCTCTAACCTCTTGATGAAATGCCGACACTTTTCCGAAATGTCCGTGGGCAGTGGTGGATGCGTCTTGAACATACCGACGCGGAACATGGCGGCTTGAGGGTTTTGCATCTGAAAGGAGGAACACCTCTTATAAAGAAACTCCACCCCTAACACGCGAGCGGCAGACAAACCTCGACAAACGGTGGCCGTCCAGTAGCCATTTCAACCATCGTACAGCCGAAACTCCAAATATCAGCCGGTGCTCCGTATCCACGTTGGCCGTGATCGATGACCTCAGGGGCCATGTATTGCAGGGTTCCTAAAAGGATTTTCGGTGACTTGGATCTGGTACCTCTAGGAATTATACAGTACTCTAGATTGATGAAGTACCTGTGAATGTCTCCGTGACCGGATTCAGTCCTGCCAGTCGCTTACAGGTACCAAAGTCGCTAATTTTGCATACGCCACTGTACGTGTTCACCAGGACATTATCACCTTTGATATCACGATGAACGATCTTCTGCTCGTGCAGGTAGCTGGAAAGCAGCACTTTTGTGTGTCCAAAAGAGGGGCACATAAGCAACTCACCGTAACCCATCGAGGATCTGTTTGCCGTAGAGAACCATAGCTGGTTCGTTAAGTGGACCCCACTTTGACCTCAACAGACTGCTCAAACTTCCTCCCGGCACGTGCTCCATGAAGATGAGAAACACGTCATTACCGGTATCCCTGAAAAGCAGTAACATTAGAACCGCTGTCTGGTGGGTTATGGGTTATATTATAGGGGGGGGGGCGGAAGGACCCAGAGAAAACAGCCAAATTTTGGGATAAAAATTCGCCTATCTTGTAATTTCGCGCAAATTTCGTTTTTCTCATAGAATCGAACATCTCATAGAATCCAACAATTTTTCTCATAGAAAATGAAAATTGAAAATAAGAAAAAAATAATAAAAATTGAAGTTCACTCGCCTGTGCACAACATCACAACCCAGATACTGTACAATATTTTGATGGCTGAGTGTTGAATGCAAGTTGATTTCTTCCATAAGGGGTTGCACCTGGAACAAACCTAGCTCTATACGAGTCCCCTAATCAATATATCGATCCACGCTAAACCAATAAAGTATCGATTACCTCTTCGTCGTACTTGACTTCGATCTCCTTAACGACGATTTGACGCTGGGTTGTCACATCTCGAGCCGAGTACACTACACCGTACGTACCTTTGCCAAGTACCACTCGATCACCACTTGACGTCATCTCGTACTCGAACTGGAAAACTCGTCCATACACTTCACCCACTCAAAACAGTGACATTGGGCAGGACTTACGTGCATCTTTTCGCCATCAAGGTTTGACAGAACTTTGCCTTGATTGCCATCAGCTTCCGTCATTTCCATCAGAGAGCTGATGACTCTAAAAGAAGCGGACACTAATTCTTTTTGTAAAACTAGTTTCTTTTAACTATTACTTGTTGCAGTGCGCCGCTGATGGGAAGACGAGATTGAAATCGTCCGAGTTTTCATGGACATACAGGAACATTGATCGATCATCACGTTTCGAGGCGGAGACTGCTTTGATGTTACCGGCAGTGAAGTGCCAACGATGGATACCTGGATTGAAAGGAATTGGTAATTGATTCTCTACATCAATCGATAGCGCCTGCTCTGACGTTATCACTGAATCAGGGACATTTAAAGGCAGTGGGTAAGATTGCTGGGGACGGGTGGTTGCTGCCAAGGTCACTGGTAATAGGGCTGATCCTCCACCAATGACGCTGAGAGCAACCGCCCGCCTCCAACCATTGTGCCCACTGCCTTCGAAACATTCGGCATACCTGGTGGTGGCTTTTTCTGTTGGCTATTTTCCAGCACATGGCTAAGAATCATCGAGCGTTCATTGACGTTCAACGTGAGGTAGGACGGCGTGAATTGCTGAAAAAATTATTAATACTCGCGTATGTCTACAAACACCTACAAGGTAAAAAGGTGCCGTTAGGCCGTAAGGGTAGGTCCGCCCCTGTTGGATGAGCGGAGCCAATCCTACCACTGTGTCCAAATCATTAATGCACATCCCTTTCTAAGACGGTAGCGAAAGGTGTCGTGCAAGTGACAAAGACGCAGTGGTAGGCCTGAATCCGCCCACACGTTCAACGGACTGCATCCTATGTTCGGAAGCTGGTAGAGATAGTTTACCTTAGTGAGTTCCTGAATTAGCACTGGAAAACGGGCACAAGTCACAAATCGTTTCTGAACTCGGATCGCTTCCATAAAGAATTCGGACCAGAACAGAAACTGCTGTTTCTCCTGCAAAAGAACACTTTAAGCAGTATACGAAACTGGTCGCAATTATTACCAGTAGAAAGGCAACAGAGATAAGCTCTGAATGTATATAAATTAGCATGAAGGCCTTTGTGGTAAAAACACTAAGGCTTCGTATTGCAGAAGCGCAACTAGTGCAGTCGCTTCTCCGCTCAGTAAAACCAATTTTTCTAGCAGCTTTTTTTCCGTTTTGGGTCCTCCACTGACTTTTGTTCACAAGTGCAGTGCCACCGGTTCCAGAGCTCTGCCACAGTTTCTATCAACCCAGCTGATGTACAAATTGAGAATCTGTCCCGATTCTATGCTCTTCGAATGGGTGGAGCCGGAAATACCGTCGCTACGATTGCGAGCGAGAGAGCGTGAGTTGGAGCGCAGCCAGGACGGCTTCTTCCACCAATCGATGCCATCCTGAGCGCGGTTAATGGTGGAAAAGGTGGAAAATGTTGGTGGAAAAGGCAACCCAGGCGGGCATCTACTGCCACTCTTGTCCATGGCTCTTCCTCTCTTTTGCAATGATAGTGACTGTACCGCTGTGCCGCACAACCGGATTCTCACGCTCATTCTTTCTCCGTTGAATTCCACAAGTGAGAGGTGCACATTGGCGGGCCGCCTACACGACCAACGTGGAACGCGCTGTCAAAGAACTTGTGCACGGTTTACCAAAAAATGGGGTATATGGCGCGATCACAGGAAGTCAACCCGGGCCGTCAAAAAGAAGCCCGTCTTCACCTTCACTACCTCTATGACAAATATAAATTCCACTTGGCTTGTGCAGTAGATGCAGCCTTGTTCGCTGCAATTGGCGATATCAGGAGCTGAGCTGGTCTCGTTTTAGACAGCACCCCGGCCTAGGCAACATCCCCAATTGAACGACAGAAACAGGCTAGCGCGCGCCATTCAGGCCGTCTCAGCAGCAAAACTGTAATTAACTCGGAAACACCAAACACTGCAAGGTCATGTGTCCTGTCTGGTTTATTTTCGGGGACTCGAGGCTTTCCTCACCGAAATGGAGGGAGGGACAGGAGCATGGTGCTTCAACGTGGCACTGGCTACTCAAAGGCACGACGGTTAGCCAGCCCCTGAAGAAAACCCCTCTCTTTCAGGTATCTTGAGCACATAAAACAAGAACCAGTCCTGAACTGTTGCTTACTGATAGGGCATGCAGGCAGTTTCCGGGAAGGACTAAAATGGTTGATTGCTCCTTATCTACCATTAAAAAAATTAAAAATTAAAATTATATTAAATGCCCTAAAAAATAAAAAGTATCCGCCAACCTTCTCAATCGGACTGATTGTAGCCGCACATCGATTGATCAATTTGATGTTCTCCATGGTTGATTTAAGAAACCTGAAATAAACCCATTCAGAACGTATGGTGAACACATCCACCTTAATGGTACAGTTACCACTGAGCGAATGGATATTCCGAGAAAAATCGAATGAGTCGCTGTATATAACCAGTAGAACAACATAAGGAAAGCTTACCACACAGGCGGCTTCAACATCGCCATTTTAAGCGCTGCTTCGCAGGCTTTCTGGTAGTTCTCAGCCAGGACTGATACCTAAAATGACATAACTTAAAGCAAAGTTAGATCTGATTGCTAAGCAAGGAACTGAAAGGGGAATAGCCAACGACTAGGGTCTTGTTGAGAGCACAGGATCTCACAGAATGACTAACGGCTGCAGACTTAAAACTGGGTTACCTCGAAATACGTGGCCACATCCCAGTAATCGGTGAGCTGGTGTAAAGCGCCTTTCCGTCCAAGTAGCGAATTCAGCACGACAGCTGAAATAAAAATATTTGAAATTTTGATCCTGATCGACGTCGCAAGATCTGACCAGTCTATGAAACAATCGATCGATAATGTACAAAAATGGTCTTGATCCTCCTTTAC